TACTTTCAAGACTTCAGAATAGAAGTTGTCCTGAAAGTTGATACTGTAAAAAGGGGAGTGTAAGGGGGATATTGCTTTTTTTTTTAGGCAGAGAGTAATTTTTAATTTTTCCAAGGCAATTTATTTTCTGAAGAGCCACTGAGGAGCGAGGTGTGTCCGCAAGAGTTTCCCTCAGCTGTGCTTGGTGTAAACTGGGTGCTTTGGGGGTTCTGCCCACGGGCCCCATGAGAATGTATAACCAGACCACCTGCCAGCATAGCTGTCAGTGACTGTCCCTGGTGTCTTGTTAAAGCTGCTGGCTGACTTCTCTAGGGAGACATGACTTGATGTCCTTCCTCTCTGGGGTGACAGGTGATACCCCAGCTTTTCCTGTAGGAAATATTTTTGTGTATTGGACTAACTATCAGGACTGCTATTAAGCTTCTGACTTAATCCCAGAGTCCAGATGTATACGCACTAGGCAGCTGCGCCCTCTTCTTCCAGCTGCTCTTTGAGCCCACCCCACAATGTCTCACTCTCATTTTTTTTGTGTGTGTTTTGAAAAAACCAAATCACACTTGCTTATTGCCCTCCTTCATTCCGGTGTCTCATTACTCTCCTCCTGTGATTCTCCAGGGCCTCGTGTCTGCTGTGGAGCGAGAAAGCCCCTGGGCCATGTTTCAAAGACACATCAGGAAATTCTGAACATGTTTTGAAACTCCTCCTAATTCTATAGGATTACCGAGGTTTATAAAGTGCATTCCACAGTGTTCCCTTGATATCCTCACATGCTTCTGAAATGTCAGAGGGACTAGACTTCTCTTTATCCACATACTGAGTGTGTACGGATCCTCTAGAGGCAGGGAATTAAGATGTTCAGTATGGTTTCCCTTTGAAAATCTCTGAGGACCGTCTGACGATTAGTGCAGGTTCCCATTATTATTTGGCATTGGGAGACACCTACAATCGTAATTTCTTTTTCCTGTTGTTTTTGAAAGTTTTCCGATGAAACAATGGGTCTTCTGGATCAGTTCTGAATTTATGCCAGGCACGACATTCAGCACTTTCTGTGGCTTTCATTCCCCTTACACAACCTGAGAGGCGTCACTACTATTACCCACTCTCCAGATGAGATGACAGCCTCGCGGGGAAAGCTGTTTTTTTTTTTTAAGAATTGGTGAATGGTGGCCCTCCTTGGTGGCGCAGCGGGTTAAAGCACAGCACTGAGAATCTAAAAGCTGCTTCTGCATGCGTTTGATTCCCGCCTGCCCCGGAGGTGACCACATGGTGTGGCAGATCCCTCGTGACCCGCCCGCTGCTCCCCTCAGCAGTGTACTTCGTCGATCTGCCTGTTTTGCTCCCACTCTGTCTCTGGTGAAGCCTCTCACCGCCCCTGAGCCTCTGGCCTGTACCCCAGTTCTGTGTGCGCAAATAAATAAGTCTTTAAAAAAAAAAAAGAATTGGTAAATGTTTTTGTTGAGGATAAACGTCTCCAAGAGAAATGGGATTCTGGAGTCAGTTTGATAAAATAATCTCTTACGTTTATTTTATGAAGTTCATGCTCAAGTGGCTAGACAGCAGAGTCCACTGATTGTCGCACCCATTTTTTTTACAACAGGAAATGCACAATCCTTTTATTATATATACATATGTACACCCCTATGTGCATGCACATGTACACACACACATGTTTCTTACATGATTGTTCATTTTTGGACAGTATCTGGCTTCTCCCCTCAGACACGTCACCCCTTTAATTCTCCCACCACCATTGCACCCCTGATCCATCCCTTTGGTCCCTTGTGCTCTTCTGTGGCACCAGTTTTAAGGCCGACATCTATTACCTGTGGCCCCTGCCAAATAATTCAGAGAACCAGTGATTTGAGATCTTTGTCATTTTGTGCAACCAGTGGATGACAGGAGATAAACATTTGGATGTCTCCTTGAAGACCCCAAGCTTTAACCAAACACCTTCAGTTGGATTCTGTCTTCACCATAATTTCCCATCTCCTGGAGCTTCTACATCTTTCAGTGTACCTCACTGGTGACAGGAAGCTCTGTGTCCCCAAAAGATAAAGAGAGAATACAGTAGGCCCCGTGTGGGAAGTATTTCAACTTGAGTATTGGACACAGCTCTTGCAGAAGTAGAAGGTGCTTGGTAGCCCTTCTTGTTGTCTTCAGTTATTTTTATTTAACTTTCCCTTAATATTTACACTTGCCAAATTAAACTCCTTTTATTTATGGCCCAAGCAAGAGAGACTAGACGACTCTACCACTTAACGTGGAACCACATTCAATGCATCAAGCCAAGTTCAATATAGCCAAAGCTGAAAGAAACCCAAATGTTCACATTTGCGACTTGCGATGCCACAGCTCCAGGTCTGTGAGGCCGGACCGGCCCATGGTCTGAGAGTAATTCCCTCCACTCTCACTCCTCTGGTGGCTTTACACTTGAGTGGCATCCGAAGCACCTGGCGGGCTTGTAAGGACACAGATGACTGCGCCCTCCCCCAGGGTTTGAGACTCAATAGGTCTGTCTTACTGGGCTAAGGAATTTACACTGCTGACAAGTTCCCTGGTACCGCTGCTTCTGGGTGAGGCCTGCACTTTGGAACATGTGCTCACTCTTCTCGCCAGGAGGCTTTCTCTGCCACAGATACAGGCCCAGAGGCATCAAGGGCAGATGAAGTCCACTGCTGCCCCTTTCTCACTAGCCTGGGACCTTCCTAGAAGTGACCTGTGATGGCAAATGCTGTGTGTTGGTAAAGACAGTTGCAGAAGCCGACTGTGAAACTGAGTGGGTGTAACAGGAGGCACTGGGTTAACTGGTGGGTGTCCCCAGTCCCTGGTTGAGCTTTGCAAACTGTTTTCACCAAAAGGAAGTTAAACTTAGGACCCTGATCCCTTGAGAATGCGTCCAGGTACCTTGGTTTGAGAAACATTGTTTGGATTGAGTATCATAGAAAACCTGTGGGAATACATTGTGTAAGTCCTAGGCTCTTCAGTTGTAGTTGTGAATGTTGGACTAAGTTTAAGGCACCCAGAGGTGAGGAGGTCTTGTTTGATGAGCAGCAGGCACAAGATGTGGGGAAGATACTGTCAAGGATTCCTGAGTGAAGGAGCTGCCTTAGGAAATAGCTTGTCTCAGAGACTGGTCAAGAGTCTCCAACAGCGTCTTTGTTGGGGAAGTTTCCATCCATAAACCCATGGGTCCAAGATTCTCTTTCATCGGTCTCCCAGAATCCTCCAGCAGGGGTTAGCATTGCTGAACACACCCAAAATGCATTGTGTGGTAACTTCTCAGACCTACCACCACCCCAAATGTTCCTCCCCACCACCCAGAAATCACTCTCCTCCCGGCTTCCTCAGCTTTGATGCTATGACTGCTGTTTGTCTGGAATTTGAGTCTTCCTCACCCCCTTCGGATGTCCATATTGCTTCTTTGCCTTTCTCTTTCCATTGCACACATTTCTTTGTTCATTGTTTGGTAGCTGGTGCTGGGTTACTGCCTCAGTCCCCAACTCCCCACACCCAGCCCCTTTCATCCACTTACCACCAGGTGACTTCACCCGAATCCTTGGGCCAGGGAACGTGGAATCATCCATCTCTTCTGTCCTTGGGAGCATGTTTCACAAACACAGGGAAAAGCTGCTCTCCATGGCTCTGCAGATGCCTTGTTCATTCTGGTCTCCTGTCCTTGGCCCATGGAGGTCATCACCCCATGCCTCATGCTTACCAGCCAAAGACACATCATCTACCCACTTGGCCCCACCCTGGAGCTGTAGTCATGTTTATCTACTTCTTGGTCACGAAGCAGGACAGTTCAGCATTTTCAACACTCTCTGAAAGGAAGATGCTTATTGATTTGTTTGTGGCTGACTGTCTTTCCTCAACTCTGAATCCTAGAGGGTGGGTGGTCTGGTTCACCCTCCCCAGCACCTGCACCACACCTGGGGTACAGAGTCTCTCTCTAACTCAGCTGTGAGTGTGAGCAGGAACCAGGGCTTAGCAAATGCCTGCAATTTGAGAATGAGTTCTTGCCGGCGACCATGGGCGCCATACCTCTGGCGATCTGGAACACCTTAATTCAAGGCGCCTCAATGGAGCAGGGCCCCAAGGGTCTTAATCTCAATTAGTCTCTTTGGATTTGTTTTGACTGGAAATCCTATTGCCTGTTTTTAAAACATATTCCCTCGGGTGATTCTGAGCACTTGAGACCTCTTGGCAGGCAGGCATTTCATCCCCATCAGCGAATCTCATCAAAATGATATTAGGTTTGCACATCAGGAAAATAAAACTCCTCCAGGAGGACATTGCTGTTCTCCAGACTGGCTTTGGGTATAAGCACTTAAGCCCATTCAGAAGGTATTTGGACCACATCTGAGATACTAGGCCAGGGCTGAGTGGCAGAATTGCACAATAATAAAAAAATAAGAGTGGGAAGGAAACCTGCCCCTCGCTCTTGTCCCCCAAAGAATTTCCCTAGTTACAGGCCAAAACAGAATTCAAGGGAGAGCAAAACACCGGCTTTGGGTATGAGACTTAATTTCAAAGAACTGAGCAGGGACCAAGCTGGGACATGTCCTTCCATGCAGGCGCCTGCCCTGTATTTTTTTGATCTGGCCTACTCTGGGCTCCACCTTGGAAACCCTACTTAGAAAACCACATAATGGCAGAACTACTTTGATGCAAAGTCCCTAACACCCCCCAGGTATTTTTCACATCATTTAGTCATTTAGTCTTCTTCCTTCCAGAAGGAAGAGCCATGATTTCCTCTCCTTAGGAGGGAGCTCTGGAAACTTCTCTTATCACCATTGTCCATTTTCAAGTCTTCACAAATGTACTTTCATCCTAGTTTTCACTTTGGTTGCTTCAATGAGATGCTGAGGGTTCTAGAAAGACGATGTTGAAGATGGAGGAAAGATGAGGTCGGTGTGAAAGTAGTAGAATTGAAGTTTGGCCAAGCCTTTCCCCTCTGTCATAATGAAGAGGAACTGTCTCATGCTTTGCTGTCTCTTCAGAGGTGTGAACATGTACGCCATGTTGACTGGGACCCTACCTTTCACGGTGGAGCCTTTTAGCCTGAGGGCTTTGTACCAGAAGATGGTGGACAAGGAAATGAACCCCCTCCCCACGCAGCTCTCTACAGGTAAGGCATCTGCCACTCTGCAATTTCAAGATTTGCTCTCTAACCCCTTTGGGTCCATGTATTGGGTTGCTTTTGTTTTATAATATATTAGGACGATCCCATGGTTGTAGATCTCTTACTAATGTCAAAACTAACAAGATACGGTCTATACAATGGAATACTACACAGCTATACAAAATGATGAACTTTGCCATTTGCAATGACATGGGTAGAACTTGAGGGCATTATGCACAGTGAAATAGATAGCATTCGTGATATTTTACTCATATGTGGAAGATAAAGAAACAAACAAACACAAGGAACAATAACATCAACAAAAAAAGCTTTCATTATACAAATAAAATTGGGGTTACCAGAGGAGACAGGAAAAGGGGTGGTAGGCAAATTGGATAAAGCTGGGGACAATTGTATGATGGTGGATGGAAACTGACATTTGGTGGCTCTCATGTAATATAGGCAATTGATGAATTATAATACTTACAACTGAAACCTATAGAATGTTTTAAACCAATATACTCTGATAAAAAAATTAAGTCTCGAGGGCTGCATCTCCCATCTCTACATAGGCACTCCTTGATTTTTCCTTTTTCCTTTTAATTTTGAACCCTAACTTCCTTCATCCTACTTCTGTGCTGTGTATTATACATTTATCAAAAGGGTTTTACATTTCCAATTGAAAAATAATTGCAGACTTGATTATTTTAAAACTCACGTATTGTAATGTTGACTTTGGAAAGAGTGTTTATAATTGTGTCTCCCTTGGTCCATTCACTGTCAAGAAATTGTAGTTTCATTCTTGTCTGGACTGTTATGATTTGTTTTTTTGAGTTTTTGAGCCTGTTCAAATGCTTTCACATATAGATACAGGTTTAATTACTTGATTAGACTGAATCATCAGGTATATTTAGAAAGTGCTCTCAAACTAAAGTTGGTTCACCTTTTGGTAAACGGGTTGTATTAAGATTTACCTACAGATCCAATTAGTACAGTTTCTTTTATTTGGTTCACAATTCACTTCATGTTCTTGGCCACAGCTTTGCCTTGCTGATCATGAAATTGGCTCCTAAGAATAAACTAAACTTCACTAAGGTAAGGCATGTGACCAGGAAAAAAAAAAGTAGTAAAAATAAAACATTTTTCTTTTAGTACTGTTATGTATTTTTCTCTTGAATTTTTCAAGCATCCATGAAGCTGGCTTTGAATTTATGTTTGCCAAATGGAATCTAAACCAAAATGCATTCTTGTTTATAATTACCTAATTCGGTCCATACTTTCACCTTTCTGAGGGAGGTTAGAATCTCGGGAGGCTGAAAGAAAAGGAGGCATTATGTACTTGGGAAGAGAAGTTACAGTTCTGTCATCATAAAAGAAATATTTGTGCACTGAGAGCACTAACTCTTGGAGCTTGAAAACGTGCAAAATATCAAATGAATTGCTGTATTTGGGTTTCAGAAGTGTTGTAAGGGCTGAAAAGCCCTATGAGAAATGCTCATTCATTCATTCACCCCATATTCCTTATCATTCTTTTATTCCACGAATTTGGACTGTTCACCAATCATAGGCCAAGTGCCAGGAAGACAGAAGACAAAACAGACAGTTCCCATCCACATAGGGCTGACACGTCAGCTGGGGAGGCAGGAAAACGAACAAACGAACAAACGAACAAACCAGACAAACAGGTGATGTTAGGTGGTGTAAGTACATACTCTAAAGAAAAAAAATAAGGGAATAGAGAATAAGATAGCTTTTCTTTTAAGCAAATGATGTTTTTAAAACCCTTTTTAGTGTGATATAATTATAGCTTTAAATGCAGTTGTAAGATATTAACCAGGGAGAGCTATCCTTTATCCTATGTCCCCACCAGTGATGCTTTGTTTTCACCCCTAGGAAACTGACATTGATAAAATTCATGGGCCTGTTCACATTTCTTTGTAGCCATGTGTGTGTTTGTGTGTATTTAGTTCTGCGTAATTAATCACACGTGGCAACCACACAGTCACCATGCAGATCAGTTCCATGACAAGAATTCCTCATCCTACCTTCCACAGCCAAAGCCTGCCTCCTACCCTTCCTAATCCTTGAAATCCCTCAAATGTCTTCTGCCTTCATAATTTCAAAAATTTCATGTATGTATAGGTAAACAAAAATGATTATAAAATTATATATGATTTTTAATTTTTTTTACCAAGTATAATTCCCTTGAGTTCTATCCAAGTTGCTGCATGATCAGTCTTATGGCTCTTTTTTCTTGCTGAGTAGTATTCCACGACATGGAATACTAGTCATTTCAACCATGCACCCACTGGAGGGCAAAAGGTGGCTTCCATCTTTGGGTTAATATTCATATGCAAGTTTTATGTGAGCAAATTTTCATTTCTCTGGGACAAGTGCCTCAGAGTGGAATTGCGGGGTCTTGTGGTAGCACATATTTAGTTTTGTAAGACTCTCCTACAATCTTGTTCAGAGTGGTGTGCTGTTTTGCATTTCTTCTCACCACAGGTTTCATGGCATCCTTGCTGGCCTTTGCTGTGTCTCCACTTTTTATTTTTGCCATTCTGATAGGATCAGGTCCAGGGCTGAGGAAGATCCTGGCATCTTAGCCTGTTTACAGAGTGAGTTTCTTGGGGATTAGCTGGTGCTCTCTGTAACCCCAACTCTTTGTCTTTTTTGCACCCCATCAATTTTACTCTTCTCCTTTCCAACCAGCCTGGCCCAGCTTAATCCCCAAGACCATGTGTGTATGTCCCCAAATACCAGCTTACTGATAACAGGGGTGCAGCCACTAGTGGAGTGATCATTTGTGGGTGCTTTTCCTATTCTCATATCACAGCCCTGCAAGGGTAGTGCTGTTACCCCCATTGCTCAGTGGGGAAATCAAATCTCAGCGAGATGAAGTAGTTTTTCTCTTTTTGAATTTATGGCAACTTGATCCCCAGTCTGATTTTCCTATAACACTGTGCTATTTTCTCCCTTTCTCAGTTTATTTAGCATAAGATACCCGTATACAAACACCCCAGCCCAGTTTGGGGCTATTATGCTCTGAGTAATGTCCAAATTGAAAATATCCCAATTTTAGCACATGCTTCATGAACCCATCATTATTAACTTGATTCTATCTGATACTTTCTATGAGCTCGCCATGTCGGTTCTACCACAGTTGGGATTTTTTACAAGGTGAAGTTTGAAGCATTTTTGCCCAATCAGAATTGGAAAAAAAAAAAGACAACACAAAGCCATTGCCCTTGTGAACCCATGGTGTGTCCTGTCAAAGAATTGTGCCTCATCCTCTGTCATGGAGTCTGAAAACTTGAGCTGTTTGGCCCTTTCCAATTCTCACTTCTAGACTGTTCCTCTTCCTGCTAGCTGGCGCTGGTCTGTCACACGCTATGATACCTTTTATGCCAGTCACATTTTTCAGACAATTCACCTTTTCATTACTACATTCAGTGAGGCATTTAGAGTATGTTCCTCATTCTTCGGATCAAGAGGTTTTGCACCGACGTGAAGCTGCGGGGCAGACGTTACATCTGTGAGGGCTGGTTTCAGTGCTGATTAAGATTTTCCAGAAGGTTCTGCTGTTATTTCATTGTTACTGCTTTCACCTGGGAGGCTATGAAGCAGGACTTTGGGTGGGGATGGGGCTTTGTTCACACCCCAGTCCATCTTCACCCCTCTCTCGTCCCCCAGTCACCGTGGCAGGGTGTTCACAGAGGCCAGTCCAGACTCCAGAAAGCCGAAGTCTCGCGGCAGAGAGTCACTGTTTTCTGGGAGGCTCTCAAGACCCCATCTGATGTGGAGCACAGAGAGGGAGCACCCCTGCGTATCTCCCCTACCCTACGCCTGAACAGAGGGGTCCACATGGTGACTTAGAAGAGAGGAGAGGCAGCGGGGCCCACCATGAATTCCCAGGACGCTGGGGAACATCTTTTTTTTTTTTTAAAGATTTATTTATTTATTCACACAGAACTGGGGTACAGGCCAGAGGCTCAGGGGTGGTGAGAGGATTCACCAGAGACAGAGTGGGAAACAGAACAGGCAGATCGACGAAGTACACTGCTGAGGGGAGCAGTGGGCAGGTCAGGAGAAGTCTGCCACGCCATGTGGTCACCTCCTGGGCAGGCGGGGTTCGAACTCATGCGGAGCGGCTTTAGATTCTCAGTGCTGTGCTTTAACCCACTGCACCACCAGGGAGGGCCCACGCTGGGGAACATCTTAATCCCTATTGCTTATGAGATACAGGGATTTTTCAGGCTCCTGCCCCAAACTTCAAAGAGTTCCAAGGAGGTTTGCAAAGTCTCTTGGGGGGCAGTGCATTGTTTGTAATGACAAAAGATACACATCCATCAGTAGAGATGTAAACCGAAATGACAGTGCTCATGAGCAGTTTGCAAGAGGCAGCACCTTGGTTCTGAAAATAGAACAGAAAAGCTCATCCAGCCAGATCTCAGCTCCGCTGGCTCGTCGTGGGCCGTCGTGGGCTGTCGTGGGCTGCCTGGTGGCTGGGCCAGGGGCCTGTTCCGGCAGGAAGGGAAGCCACAGAGACGTCTCAGAAACTTCATGAACTCACCTGCCCCCATTTGCATTCCCCGGGCCCACATCTCTTTGCTTTGAGCTACAGGCATTCCTCATTCAGCGTCCCGATGGTGCTTGCTGCGTTGGGGAGTCAAGAGAAGGGTAACAGCTTCCCCAAAAGAAGAACCTATTTCGGGGGAGCTGTTTGCTCTACAGACCATTAAAAAGCATTTTAGGAAAGTTTTATTTGGAGAGCCAGCTATAAAAATCTAAAAATAAAAGGTATTAAGTCCGTCTCGTGACTGCTGTGCTATCTTCACTCTATTTTTATTCATTACGTTCCCAGAGGAAAACAACTTCTGCCAACCTCATCAACTCCGGGGACCCACCTGGAGGTGTCCTCCGAGGCAGGACTAGCGCCAGGGATCCTTTGGGCACATTCTTGCTTCCCATGATCTTGGGACTTGGGGTGTCACATGGAGAGTGCCAAATTTCCTGATTTAGCTTTATTTACTTATTTTTATAACCATCCCCGTATAAATTACTGGAAAATTGAATGTATTTCTTTTTGTAAGATGGAAATGTCATTTTAGAAATTCTCACTGATTTAAAAAAGTGATCCCATCCTAAATTAACCCATTTTAATCTTAGGAAAAGAAAGTGCATAATGCCGTGTGCGTGCGTATTAAATTTCTATTGAAATATGTAAAAATATATAAATTTATATTAAATATGTAATTTCTAGAGACATTTTGCGGGGGTGGAGTGGGGAATGGGATCAAAAACGGGGGTGGGGAGGAGGGAAGCGCACGGGATTATGGTGATGGCACAGGGGTGACTTGGTGATGGGAAACCCGCGGGGATTACAATTGAGATAAAAAAAAAGTACAAAAATGTAAAAAATGTTATATAAAAAATATGTAATTTCTATTAAAATACAAGCATATTCTAGGAACACATTAAAAGTGGCTGGCGAGCAAGCAGCATTTAGTAATAAAAGAAAAACTGTCTCAATAAAATCTGCCCACATGCCCTACTCTATCAGTCAATATGTTTTCCTTTCTATTTATCTTATTTCATTTTTCTATTGTGTTATTTTTCGCTGCGGTAACATGGGATCCCAACACCGAGCGTGATTCGAGGTGCTGTTTCACACCCCGGCTGGGGCAGGCTGCCAGCGGAAGGTGTGATTGAGAGCGTCTTTATCTCTGGCTCCTTCTGAGCGCCCAGACCCACCTCGACAACGAGTCTTCTCTCTTCTTTCTTTCATCCCTGCCCGTGAAGCCTGTCGGGCTCCCCTGCAGCGGTGGCGCAGGAAGGCCACCAGGGTGGGCCACGGCCAGGAGCGCACGGCTGGGCCGCCTCTGGCGTCGAGACCCGCGTTGCGCGGGTCTGGTAACCTGAGTGTCCGCCCAATGTCTCTGCAGGGGCCATCAACTTCCTGCGCTCGCTCCTGGAACCGGACCCAGTGAAGAGGCCCAATATCCAGCAGGCACTGGCGAATCGCTGGCTTAATGAGAATTACACCGGGAGGGTGCCGTGTAACGTCACCTACCCCAACAGGTACCCTCGCCCCCTAAACCCCTTCTCCAGGGGAGTGAGACCTCTCGCCCAGGCAGGCAGCTGGGCCGGACGCCAGGGAAAGCCAAGGGGTCTTCTAGCTGCCTCCGGCTTCTGTGCGCCCTCACACCTGCGGACAAGCCCAGCTCACTGCTGGGGGCTGGGGGTGTGTGGGTGCTACTGGCAGAGGAGTAGGGGGATTCCTCTGGGGGGGCCTGGTCTCCCAGAGCAGCACCACTGTCACATTCACACCAAAGGACCGTTCAGAATAGCTGTGACTGACGGGGAGTGTGTGTGTGTGTATGAGTCTGTGCATGTGTCTGAGGGTATGTGTGTTTCTGTATGTGCACGTGTGTGTCCATGGATGCTTGTGTGTCTGTGTGTGCCGTGTTTGTGCCGCGGTGTGCCTGTGCGTGTGCTGTATGTGTGTCTGTGTGCAGAGTGTGTGTGAGATCCACCCAGGGCTCTCCTAGCGTCTCAGTCTGTTGCAGTTGCCTCCCTCTTCTTCCAGCCCATCCCTTGGGTTCCTCTTCTGCTGCTCTTCAGCGCCGAGGCTTGTTGGACTCCCCTGCCTTGCAATGTCAGAGGTGGGAAGACGTGCCAGTGGCAGAAGTCATGGGCTCCAGGCAGTATTTCCCTGTGGGCTTCCCATGGGGCTTCCCCGTGCAGTTCCCCCAGAGGGCTCTTTAGGGAAGGGTCCAGCAGGAGTCCACAGCCTGGAAACACAGGCCCATCTCGTGGTGGCCTAAGCCTCCACGCCGGCATTGCTGGGGGAATTGCAAGCAAGGACGAAGGAACATTTCCTGCCCATTTAGCATACTGCAGATGAACCTGAGCGAGGTTATGTGCGTCCGCCTAGTTACTTTGGGATGAACGCGGGGCCCACGTGGGTCAAGTAGCGTCAGCTTTGGACCTGGTGAGTTCATTTTTCCTGCCCACTTGACCAAGCTTGCACCAGGCAAGAGAGCCACTGCTAAAGGGGGTGGAGGGGGGTGACAAGGCAGGGAAAGGGGTGTCCGCTGTGATCATTTTCCTTTTGTCTGCTACTACCATCCCTTTCTCCATTCCCCCTCCCTCTTAACCTCAGAAACCCCACTTCATTTATGAATATCCGTTAGTTTGGTAAATATTTTACTTTGTCAAACTGCCCAGTATGGAAATGTTCAGTATTTGTTTTGACTTGCTTGACTGCACATAATTCCTTTCAGCTTCCTTCCAGTTTGCTGTAAATGGCAATCGTTTGTCCTTCATGACGGTTGAATAGTATTCCACACTGTGGCTAGACCACACGTTCTTGATCCAGTCCTCTACCCCTGGGCACTTAGGTAGTTTCCATGTCCTAGCTACTGTAAATAAGGCTGCAATAAACATTGTGGAGCATATAATTTTTTTTAAAGTTAGTTTCATGTTTGGTTAATAACCCAGAAATGGAATTGTCGGATCATCTGGTATTTTTGCGAGATCATATTTTCAGAGTATAGAAGGTCTGGAACATCCACCATAACTTGGCAACAGTGCCAAGTTCTCCAAAGGAGGTGGAGAGGCCAGGCTTTGTCTTGGGGAGAAAGTTCTAGAAGAACTCAAGGGGTGATGGGTGGATATGCCTGGACTCTGCATCTATGCTACAGGACTAAATTACCCTTGCTCACCACGGCCATGGATGAGGCAGTTTCATTCAGTTACCATATAGAATTCTAGTGATGGACATGGGAGGTATTTAAACAAAGCTTAGGTTACTCAGGTTACCAAGGGAACCTGGAAAGAGACTGCTCTTTTCCAACACCAGCTCAGTTTGGGCCAGGATCTGAAATAGACACCAGAAACATTACCCCCACATGAGACGGAGCGAGCAGAGCTGAGGGGCCATGACTCATTACCAGTGCTCATGCCGGAAAGAGCACCTAGCTGTGCTTCCCATGGGGGGGGGCACCGGGGCGTCAGCGAGGTACATCCCCACTTGCTAATGAGCACTCAGGCCCCTCACGAGGCAGCTATTGAAAGCAGTGCAGCTGGTGACAACTTTATTCACAAGGACTCAGGCTGTGGTGCCTCATCTTGTAGCTTTCCATAGGTTACAGAAGGCTCTTATAGATTAAGACCTAAATTCAAGTTGGCTTTGCCAGATGAGTGATGTTTGCCTTTGGACTTGGTGAGCAGCTGCAAGGTTGCACTTGAACTTGTCAGGTAGGTTGTGGAATGCTTAGGATTTTGTATAGTAAAGAAAGTAACTGCTCAGCATCTTCTGTCGGCATCAGGCCCACTGCTCATCTAATACTGGAAGCAAATCAGTGTGCAGTTTGCAGGTAATGAAACCAGAAACTGGAACCATTGGGGGAGACACTGGCATTTATTTATAAAAATATTGAAGACCAAATATGTGTTTTGATAATTATTTCTCTGGTTTTACCAGCACATAGAGAAAAGCACACATGTGGCTAGGGAAAACACTATTTTCTTTATAAAGTATATTTTATAGACTCCCAGCCCCAAATTTAATCATTTTAGAAATTGTCAGTTTTCTAGTTTGGGGAAAGAGAGAAAATAAAAGTCTGTTTTACATCACTTTTCTGTAAAGTCTTATGGTAAATCACTCCATCTCTTCCAAAAAGCAAGAGGAAACTGTTGTTAAAATTAAACTTTTATAGTGAGTGTTCATGCTGGTCAGTCAACAGACGTTTGCTGAGATTGGATCTGGCTTCCCTCTTCTGGGAGAAGACATTCTTACAAAGCAAGCCTTGCCTGGCCTTGTCTTACGGAGTGAATGAGAGAGTGGGTGGGTAAATGAATGCGTGGTGTCTCTTTGGCATTTGATCCTGAGGAATTTATCTGCACAATACTCCTGTGAGGAAGCTTTATCCAGTCCTCTGAGGGTTCCTCATTCTACAACTGAGCCCCAACTTCCTTTATAGACTTGTGAGCTCACACAGGTCCTTGAGACATACCCTGGACTGAGACCCCTTTTTCTTGCCCCACTTATACCCACCTGAAGGGTGGGTTTCATCCACATCCCAAACACAGTGGTATTTAGGAGTGAAATGTCCTGGTGCCTGTGACTTAAAATACTTCAGTGAAAACAAAGCCAAACAGAGTTGTGACTTCACTCATCCATAGTATATAGAGAAATCAAGTGAATGAACTAGAAGAAATAAAACTTTTAGACTAATGATGAAATTAAATTAGTGTTACCATAAGGGTGAGGGGGCAGGGTGGGTAAAGAAAATAAAAGTGGACAGGGGGGAGGTGATGGTCTTTTAGTGGTGAACTTAATGTAGTGGATACATGGGACAAATTACAATGATGCCCACATGAAACTTAGGTGATGCTATCATGCAGTGTTAAATATTTATGCAATGTAACTTCAATGGCAAAAAGAAAAAAGAAGGTGAAGCAAGTTTGTCAAGGTGTTTAAACTCAGTACATCCAGGTGTGGGGTACATACACGATACTCTCTGTTTATGTGGAATTTCTCATTAAAAAAGTCAAGTGGATAGATGGAGGGAAGGATGAATGGAGGGATGGATGCGTGAAGGTAGGGAAGAATAGGTGAGGGGAGGGAGAGAGGGGTAGTGGGTGGAGAGATGAGCAGTTGGGTTGGGGTGGTGGATGGAGGGATGAGCAGTTGGGTGGGTGGATGGATGGATGAGCAGTTGGGTGGAGGGGGTGTGGATGGAGGGATGAGCAGTTGGGTGGGGGGTGGATGGAGGGATGAGCAGTTGGGTGGGGGTGGTGGTGGATGGAGGGATG